CAGTGACGCAGTAGTGATCTCAGGCCACAGCGGGTGATGGCAGTGACGCAGTAGTGATCCCAGGCCACAGCGGGTGATGGCAGCGACGCAGTAGTGATCCCAGGCCACAGCGGGTGATGGCGGTGACGCAGTAGTGATCCCAGGCCACAGCGGGTGATGGCGGTGACGCAGTAGTGATCCCAGGCCACAGCGGGTGATGGCAGCGACGCAGTAGTGATCCCAGGCCACAGCGGGTGATGGCAGCGACGCAGTAGTGTTCCCAGGCCACAGCGGGTGATGGCAGCGACACAGTGATCACAAGAAGGCAGCAATAGCTAGGGGAATGTGGAAGTGAAGGAGAGAAAGTAGCAATTGAGAGCCCCGGGAGACGAAGATCACGCATAATGCTGATCAATAGAAAGCAATAATTACGGAGCAGACGTTATCCCCTCCCTCCCTCATGTCTCATTCCCCTCCCTTCCTCACTTCTCTCTCATCTCTCCCACTCTACATAGTAAACCTCCCGTCCCTTCTCCTCCCTCCCGCCCCCTCAGTTCATCTCGGAGTGCATATCGCCTGTAGATGAATTAAGAGGTGAATCTGAGAACAGTTATATCGGGTAGTAGCCGAGGAGAGCTGGCACCCGGGCATTGACTGCTGCGGTGCTCCTCCCACTTGCCAGGGTTGGGTTCCTGGTTCGAATCCTCGAGGCAGAGGACTAGAAATAAGGCGCGGAAAAGGAGGATGGTTATGATAATGAGAGATAATATAGAGCGGATAAGGAGCCTTGGTTGTGGAGGCGGACGGAGAGGGGGAGTTGCAAGCTGTGGCCGCCCGCCGCTCGTATGTAAATGAGTGTGTACAAGCGCACACGGAAGTAAGCACACACACGCACACGCACGCACGGGGATTTCTATACACGCAATTATGCTCGGGCACACACGATAAGACCCGCGTGTACTGAGGGTATGTGAGACTGGTGGAATGTAGCGTACATTCCCCCTTGATTAATCCCCCTCACGCGGGGGATTAATCAACCAGGTATCAACCAGGTTCTTGGACCCCCTACTGGTTCTGATGTACTCAAGACAAGCCCGACAACTGACAGGTCGCCTGCACCACCTTCACACAAGCACCAAGGCAACCCTGGCCAGATAAATGGCTTCTAGAGTTCAATCTCGACAAGTGTACACTTAGCAAGTCTGGTAAGTGGGGATGAGTGTGACCAGAGAGAGACAAGAGGAAAGGTACATAAGAGCGAAACACCTTGATGTAGGCGTGGACACGTCACCCGTAGTAACACCAGAATAATACACAAAGTTGACAAACATGAGAATGGTAATTTGTAAACCTGAAAATCTAATGAATCATTCACCACTTGAACTGAGGCGACTGGATGAATTAAGATGACTAAACTGTGAAGTCAAGTTCATTAGAAATGAGAACAGGAGATGCTGTTTCACCCACAGGGTTGAAACAGGGTAGGCAGTTCCATCCATGGAACCGCCTACCCGCCGAACCTGTAAACAACTAGAGCTCGAGCAGGCGACAGTTAAGGTAAGATACACAGTAATGCACCTGGTCTGTGAGGTCCTTAACCAGAGTCTCCGGTGCTGGGCTTCAACTACCTGCCAGTCACTGGGTGGGGGCAGTGTACGTAGGACTCTTGGTGTGCCCAGAGTACGTGGGGACTCGTATGGCCAGGTACAGGTAGCAGGTGAGGCTAGCTAGTGTAGCCGTTCACGCCTGGGGGACTAGAGTGATGGGGCTACTGAAGCGGTACAGGTTCACAGCTTGGACTGTGGTGGCAGCGACGCGGGGCCTTCGGCAGGTGGGGTCCACCTTGGTGGCCGGCTCGCGATCTGTCCCTCAGGATACCTCCGTCAGGGGCCCCCGGCAGCGGGTCCCGGTGCGGGTTGAAGGATCTCTCCGGTCGACAGACCACGCGCTAGAAGGTGAAGGGACGACGACGTTTTGGTCCGTCCTGAACCATTCTTTCTCAATCGACTTCAGAATGGTCCAAGACGGACCGAAACGTCGTCGTCCCTTCACCCTCTAGTGTGTGGTCTGGTCAACATACTTCAGCCACGTTATTGTGACTCCTCGTCTGTATCCCTCCAGTCCACTTGGGTGTAGCTGGGGCTGGGATAGGAGTTTAGCTACAGGTGTTCTTCAATCTTCCCTGATAAGAAACTGTGTAAGAATTTAACATGAACTGCTTCCTTACATGTCTGCTGCCTATCCTCGTATCTTATCCTGCTTCAGGCTAAACATTTTCTTTTTGTCCACTTTGGTATTGCCACTAAAAATCTTATACGCTGTGATCATGGCCCCTCTTATTTTTTTCCAGCGTGGCCAGGTCTAGTTGCTTCAGTTTTTCCTCGCAGCTCTGTCCTCTTAGTGATAGAGAAATCTATGGTCTTTATAAGCAGGGAAATCTATGGTCTTTATAAGCAGGGATTCGTCACTGAGAGCTGCATATTCCAGCACTGGTTTAACATAGGTTGTGTAGACTTTACATACATCGTTTATATAGGGCAGGAATACTCCTTAGGGTATTTTTTGGTGCATGAGAGACAATACTGGTCTCTGATAGTGTTTCATGCGGGCCTTTTGACTCCTTGCTCCAAAAATAAACCTCATTCCAGCATACATTTGGAGAGTTGGAGTAATGGGAATTACCTAGTTTATTAATGGATTAATGGAGATTATTGTGTACGCTAGGAACAAGCCCTGGTGATGCAGGTTTGAACCCTGGTCGGCTCATACATTTCTTAAAACAAACTTTAATAAACTGTGTAAATTCTTAACTACTCTAACCGAGAAGACTTCTTAATCTTAAAACTCAATGACAAGTTACATAACCTATTTTGAGGTTATTTTGAGATGATTTCGGGGCTTAGTGTCCCCGCGGCCCGGTCCTCGACCAGGCCTCCACCCCAGGAAGCAGCCCGTGACAGCTGACTAACTCCCAGGTACCTATTTACTGCTGGTAACAGGGGGCATTAGGGTTATCTTGAGGTTATCTTGAGTTGATTTCGGGGCTTAGTGTCCCCGCGGCCTGGTCCTCGACCAGGCCTCCACCCCCCAGGAAGCCACCCGTGACAGCTGACTAACTCCCAAGTACCTATTTACTGCTAGGTAACAGGGGGCATTAGGGTGAAAGAAACTCTGTCCATTGTTTCTCGCCGGCGCCCGGGATCGAACCCGGAACCACAGGATCACAAGCCCAGCGTGCTGTCCGCTCGGCCGACCGGTGAGAGAAACTCTGTCCATTGTTTCTCGCCGGCGCCCGGGGAATATTATCCTACCACAAAATATTTCCATGATACTGGATACAGTCTGGATACATTCTGGATACAGTCTGGATACACAAATGCGATGATGTATATAGATGCGGCAACACTGCCTCCGCCCCCCCACCCCCCACCTGCCTCCATCAGGAAAAAACAAGGGATTTATACAATCGACTTCAGAATGGTCCAAGACGGACCGAAACGTCGTCGTCCCTTCACCTTCTAGTGTGTGGTCTGGTCATCATTAGAACACAGAAAACCAGCTAGAACACCATTAACTAAAATTTCCATATGGGTACATAATGTGTCATTCTAGGGGCCAGGAATATTTATTTTTGTTAACATTATTTTCTAAGGGCTCTGTAGAATTTGGTACTTTATAGAACTTTACAATCTAATTGCCTTGTACGTCAATATATGTACGATGGTGCACATAATGTTTTTTTGTAAGTATATAAACAAAAGAATATGTGGCTGGCTCGCATGATGTGGCTGGCTCGCATGATGTGGCTGGCTCGCATGATTCATTATTCTCAGAATAAAGTTCCTGATCGCTGCCTCAACATGCCTGTTGCAACTGCCTCTATATTGACTGCAGGCTCAACATGCCTGTTGCAACTGTCTCTATATTGAGTGCAGGCTCAACATGCCTGTTGCAACTGCCTCTATATTGAGTGCAGGCTCAACATGCCTGTTGCAACTGTCTCTATATTGAGTGGAGGCTCAACATGCCTGTTGCAACTGCCTCTATATTGAGTGCAGGCTCAACATACCTGCTGCAACTGCCTCTATATTGAGTGCAGGCTCAACATACCTGTTGCAACTGCCTCTATATTGAGTGCAGGCTCAACATGCCTGTTGCAACTGTCTCTATATTGAGTGCAGGCTCAACATGCCTGTTGCAACTGTCTCTATATTGAGTGCAGGCTCAACATGCCTGTTGCAACTGCCTCTATATTGAGTGCAGGCTCAACATGCCTGTTGCAACTGTCTCTATATTGAGTGCAGGCTCAACATGCCTGTTGCAACTGCCTCTATATTGAGTGCAGGCTCAACATACCTGTTGCAACTGCCTCTATATTGAGTGCAGGCTCAACATACCTGTTGCAACTGCCTCTATATTGAGTGGAGGCTCAACATGCCTGTTGCAACTGTCTCTATATTGAGTGCAGGCTCAACATACCTGTTGCAACTGTCTCTATATTGAGTTGAGGCTCAACATGCCTGTTGCAACTGTCTCTATATTGAGTGCAGGCTCAACATACCTGTTGCAACTGCCTCTATATTGAGTGCAGGCTCAACATGCCTGTTGCAACTGTCTCTATATTGAGTGCAGGCTCAACATGCCTGTTGCAACTGTCTCTATATTGAGTGCAGGCTCAACATACCTGTTGCAACTGCCTCTATATTGAGTGCAGGCTCAACATACCTGCTGCAACTGCCTCTATATTGAGTGCAGGCTCAACATACCTGTTGCAACTGCCTCTATATTGAGTGCAGGCTCAACATGCCTGTTGCAACTGTCTCTATATTGAGTGCAGGCTCAACATGCCTGTTGCAACTGCCTCTATATTGAGTGCAGGCTCAACATGCCTGTTGCAACTGCCTCTATATTGAGTGCAGGCTCAACATGCCTGTTGCAACTGCCTCTATATTGACTGCAGGCTCAACATGCCTGTTGCAGCTGCCCCAATACTAAGCTGGGTCTTTGTGTGTGTGTTACAGGTGGTGATTGTCGGGAACGGAGCGGTGGGGAAGTCTTCTATGATCCAGCGCTACTGTAAGGGTACCTTCACCAAGGACTACAAGAAGACCATCGGGGTGGACTTCCTCGAACGCCAGTTATCGTGAGTGGCTGAGGGGACGCTGGGGGGGGGGGGGGATGGAGGGATTAGGGGGAGGGAGAGGGGTGTGAGGGAGTGATGGGAGGGACAGGGATGCGAGGGAGTAAGGGGTGGGACAGGGGTATGAGGGAATATAATATATCCGACCTCTGTCCAAGAGAGATGTTGATAAACACTTCGAAGTCATACATGGGGTCCAAGAGAGATGTTGATAAACACTTCGAAGTCATACTTGGGGTCCAAGAGAGAGGTTGATAAACACTTCGAAGTCATACTTGGGGTCCAAGAGAGAGGTTGATAAACACTTCGAAGTCATACTTGGGGTCCAAGAGATATGTTGATAAACACTTCGAAGTCATACCTGGGGTCCAAGAGAGAGGTTGATAAACACTTCGATGTCATACCTGGGGTCCAGGAGAGAGCTTGATAAACACTTCGAAGTGATACCTGGGGTCCAGATTCAATACCAGTACCTAGATTCAGTTCTTAGGAAGCGTGTAGGTATTCTGCGCATGCGTTAGAGAAGCTTTTGTGTGAACATTCTAAGGATTCTGTGCCAGGTCACCTGCATGTGGGCAGGGCATTGAGGAGCGGGTTAGTCAGAGGAAGGACAGGTAAGGGTAGGGTAAGAACTGGCCGTGGAGTAGGTAGGCTACGTATTCACATGTTATTAACGAGTGTGTCACTGGTAATGTGGACAGGTGTTTGACTGGCGTGATTGATCCACAGGTTGAGTGGGGAGGAGGTGCGCCTTATGCTGTGGGACACAGCGGGTCAGGAGGAGTTCGACGCTATCACCAAGGCTTACTACAGAGGAGCGCAGGCCTGCGTGGTGGCCTTCTCCACCACAGACCGCGACTCCTTCACCGCCGTCAGAAAGTGGAAGAAAAAGGTAGGTTACCAGAAGCGTTGAGGTCTTGCTCTTTAAGGTATGTTAAACTAACACTAATTCCATTTTCTCTCCCCTGGGGAAAGAAAATGGAATCGTAACAACATACCTGCACAGACTGTTGATAATCTCCACATGAGAGGTGATTAAGACTCATAGGGGTAACCCTAACAAACCTTGACATATAACCAACCTGTCTGTGCCACAGAATCAACTTGACTTTGACACACTACCTGAACTTATGAATGAGGAACCTACCTTGCTGGTCGGTGATCTCGATGCCAGGCACCCACACTTTGGCGCCAGCCGTCATCAGCCCAGTGTCAATGGACGGAAACTGTCACTCTGTGTCAGGGGAAGTGAAAAATCTTCAGAGTCCTGGGAGATGGACAGCCAACAGGGAGCTCCGGCGATAATACGGAAGATTAACGCGCAGATAAAGCTTGAATCAACTCGCCACAGCTTTGAATGTTCTCTTGCTGACTGCACAGGACACGGATGACAGCACACGCATTGTGCACAGTTTATGTAGTGACTGCTGGACACTGATTACCACCGTCGACATGAGCAAGAGAATGAAAGAGACAAATACAAGAAAAAGTTTATCACTCGGAGCAGATATGCGGCCGCACTTCATAAACAAGATGAGTGACTGGTTCACGAAATACCAAATCCCTGAAGATATTGACAAATATGTTGATGACCTTAATTACCAAATCGAGAACTGTCTCAGAGTCCTTATTTGACATATCACATCTATCAATCTCGTGTCGTGCACTTGCAAGATGCTTGAAAGGATCATTCTAAACCGACTGTTGCACAAAATAGGCAGGCTAAGGGAAGGGGGTCAATGGATTTGTTAAAGGACGCAGCACAGCAAATTGTATAGTTAATTAATTACTTGGCTAATGAGACAGCTAAGTACTGAAATTTATATAGAATCCAGAAATTAATTAGATCAAATCTAGACTGATGGGTCATTTAATCCTACCAATGACAGGGCTGGTGCAGCATACGCTGTAATTAGGAATAATGCCTCTCAAAATAGAAATGAAAAAAGAACACGGATTGAGAACTATGCCTCTTCAACGCAAGCAGAGCTAACTGCCATTGTTATGGCATTAAGATTAATAAAACGACACTACAAATCCTTAGTAAAAAAAAAAAGAAAGCTATTTTGACAGGGTACGGTAAAACCTTACCCTGTCAAAGTAAGAGAGACAGAAATGTTGACCAGATCACACACAAGAAAGTGAAGGGATGACGACGTTTCGGTCCGTCCTGGACCATTCTCACAATCTACTTGAGAATGGTCCAGGACGGACCGAAACGTCGTCGTCTCTTCACTTTCTAGTATGTGGTCTGGTCAACATACTTCAGCCACGTTATTGTGACTCAAGGTCTGCAGATACATAAATGCTATATAAAGTAGTGTGTTAGCACCTAACCACTGAAGGAGGTGATTAGGGTGCTTTTACAAGCACAGGTTACAGTCACGTAACATTGTATAACTGATGCATTACATAGTCAATCTTGGGTACAAGTCAAATAGCCAGGACGTGCTTAAGTGTCTCAAGTGAACAACTTATCAAACAAAAAGATTAACATGTGTCAACTCCTAAAATTTACATAATCTTGCAGGTGCAAAACGGGGGAATCTTTTAAGAACAGTATCTAATTTGACAAATAATATTTTCCTAACTCAAACAATGTGGGGTTTATTATTCTGCACATATTTATAATGTCTCTAAGACGGTTACATTCTCTCAGGTAGTGGTCAAGGCGGGGACCATTAATGACCCTGGGTACCTTTCTTCTCTCAAGAGGAGACTATGGGAGAGATTAAAGCCCTTGCGGGTTTTTGTTGGTGTCAATCATGGAAAAGCTATGCGTCTCATCCTTGGGGCTCCAAAGTCCACGAGAATAGTTAATATGAGAGCAGTTAAAATTGCCTACCATAAGTGAGAGAATTTTGTCCATTAGCAGTTTTCGGCGTGAAGGCATTGAGTAGATCTAGGCAACACATGAAGTTTCAAGCTAAACTTTCTAATATGCTACACTCACCTGAGGTCTATAGAAGAAGAGCGAAATCTGATTATGCATTTTGGTTCTACAAGGTAGCCAACTCCATCAAAATATTAAATATGTACCCAACTCAGTTAATGATTAATCAGCCAATAACTCCATGGTATAACTGGGATCTATCAGTTGATTTTGTAAATGCACCCAAGAAAGATAGTGTGCACTCTACATGTGGACTTATATACTGTGACTCGCAGAGTGCACTCCTGGCATTGAACGCACATAGTAGTGACACCCAGAAAATAGTCAGTGATATTCGAATGAATGTTTTAGCTGCTAAAGAAAACAGATTTGAAATTAAATTCCTATGGATACCATCACATGTTGGCATCTCAAGGCATGACACTGTTGATATGCTTGCAAAGACAGCCTGTAGAAAACCAGTGGTAGAAATTGATATGGGTGTTTCATTAGCAGTGACAAAGAGAATACTTATTCACAAAGACCTGAAAGTTGTAGCATTAAATATTATGATAGATATCGTGAGGAGACATTCACATATGGGACTAATAGAACAAGAACCCGGCAATGTGATGTTATAGTGGCCAGAATACGCCTGGGATATAGACGTATCTGGCAGCTTTCTCAAAACCCAAATGTCGAGTACACAATGTGTCAACTTTGTGAAAGAGAAAACATGCACTCTCTTGAACATTATATTGTAGAATGTCCCATATTGACTGACTTTCGCCCTCCTGGGCTGAGGTATGCTGAACTCTGTAATTACTATATGAGTACTGGAACACTTGATGATATATTGGACTTGTACCCAAGATTGACCATGTAATGTATCAATTATACAATGTATGTATGTGATGTAACTATATAACCTGAGCTTGTAAAAGCACCTTAATCACCTTCAGTGGTTAAGTGCTTAATAACACACTAGTTTCTCTATCAGCTATCTTACCCTCTCAGAGTAGGAGAGCCATAAATGTATGTGTATGTGTATATGTATGTATACGTGTATATATGTATATGTATGTATGTGTGTATATGTATATATGTATGTGTATAAAGTATATGTGGAAGCTGATCAGAATTACATTTCACCTTTGTAAATGCACATTAATGACACTATGTAAAAGACACATCGACCACTTTATGTAGGGCAGACGTAACTCTGTGTATCTATGTATTTATGTCTGTAGGTTAGATTAGCATTTTAAAAGCACTACAATCACCTTCTGTGGTTGATTGTTCAATAAATCCCTGAACTATATGTTTAACAGATCTCTCACCCTGTCCATGGAGGACAGAAGAAAATGTATATATGCTGGTTAGCATTGTAAATGTGTGGCCACGTCTGTGGTAGAAAATAATAATAATAAAAACTATATCCATTTGCTTACAGGATCTGATTCACCCTATATGCCTCTAATGTGATGGTGTGAGAGACAGTATGTATGTGGGAGGTTCTGAGTGTGTACCAGTCAAGGTCATTCAGTCATTTAATCTAATATCCAATAATATATTGGGTTATAATTCATAATAATAGAGTACAGTGTTACGAAGCAATTAGTAGAGGTAATATCCTGAAATGAGTGGAACTGTCTGCAGGTTGAGGACGAGTGTGGCAGCATACCCATGGTGCTGGTGCAGAACAAGATTGACCTCATCGACCAGGCCACTGTCAAGCCGTGAGTACCTGCACTCTCCCGCCAGACCCTACAACCTCCCCCCTCTCTCCCCAGAACCCACAACCTCTCCTCCCCCCTCTCTTCCCAGACCCCTCAACCCCCCCTCTCTCCCCAGACCCCCCAACCTCTCCCCCTCTCCCCAGAACCCACAACCTCTCCCCCTCTCCCCAGTCCCCTCAACCCCCCCCTTTTCCCCAGTCCCCTCAACCCCCCTTCTCCCCAGACTCCAAAACCTTTTAATATTTCAGATGGTCAACTGTTATACTTGACCAGTCTTGCTCGCTCCCCCCCCCCCCCCGAGAGTGTTCCTTAGCCTCCCCTCCCTACCTACGTGTGCACACCCCCGCTCCTGTGCCAGGTAAGTCCGCTACGGGCTCACCATAGCCCGTGCTACTTGCCCCGCTCCTGTGCCAGGTAAGTCCACTACGGGCTCACCATAGCCCGTGCTACTTGCACCGCTCCTGTGCCAGGTAAGTCCACTACGGGCTCACCATAGCCCGTGCTACTTGCCCCGCTCCTGTGCCAGGTAAGTCCACTACGGGCTCACCATAGCCCGTGCTACTTGCCCCGCTCCTGTGCCAGGTAAGTCCACTACGGGCTCACCATAGCCCGTGCTACTTGCCCCGCTCCTGTGCCAGGTAAGTCCACTACGGGCTCACCATAGCCCGTGCTACTTGCCCCGCTCCTGTGCCAGGTAAGTCCACTACGGGCTCACCATAGCCCGTGCTACTTGCCCCGCTCCTGTGCCAGGTAAGTCCACTACGGGCTCACCATAGCCCGTGCTACTTGCCCCGCTCCTGTGCCAGGTAAGTCCACTACGGGCTCACCATAGCCCGTGCTACTTGCCCCGCTCCTGTGCCAGGTAAGTCCACTACGGGCTCACCATAGCCCGTGCTACTTGCCCCGCTCCTGTGCCAGGTAAGTCCACTACGGGCTCACCATAGCCCGTGCTACTTGCCCCGCTCCTGTGCCAGGTAAGTCCACTACGGGCTCACCATAGCCCGTGCTACTTGGAACTTGTTCCGAGTAGCTGAATCTATAACAACAACCACCCAAGTGTGTTTCTTCTTGTGTGCATTTGTTGTACTGGTTTGGGAAGGTGGTGGGAATGGTGGTAGGGACGAGGGTGGTAGTGGTGGTGATAGTGGTAGCAGGAGACCAATAACAGGCGTTATAATTATGTAGGGGGGGGGGGAGGAAAGGTAAATATGGGTCAAGGCAGACCGGGTATCGACCTGGGGTCCCGGAGACACGGAGCCGCATACACGCCCACACTGCCACACTTAGAGGGATAATGAGAGGGAGAGAAAGATGAATGTTAAGAGGGAGAGAGAGAGAGGGAGCGAGGGAGGGGGAGGAGAGAGAGAGGGAGGGGGGAGGGAGGAGGAGGAGAGAGAGAGAGGGAGGGAGGGAGGGGGAGGAAGGAGGAGAGAGAGAGGGAGGGAGGAGGAGAGAGAGAGGGAGGGGGGAGAGAGAGGGAGGGGGAGAGAGAGAGAGGGAAGGGGGAGGGAGGGGGAGAGAGAGAGAGGGAAGGGGAGAGAGAGAGGGAAGGGGGAGAGAGGGGGAGAGAGAGAGAGGGAGGGGGAGAGAGAGAGGGAGAGAGGGGAGGGAGAGAGAGAGAGAGAGAGAGAGAGAGAGAGAGAGAGAGAGAGAGAGAGAGAGAGTGAGAGAGAGAGAGAGAGAGAGAGAGAGAGTGAGTGAGAGAGTGTGAGTGAGAGAGTGGGTGAGAGAGTGAGAGAGTGAGAGAGTGAGAGAGTGAGTGAGTGAGTGAGTGATGGATGTGTCCATGTTACTGGTGGACGAACAGTCTCCAACAATTGAACATAAATAATAATATTAATAATCATTATAATCGTTACTAATAATCATTTATAATCAATATTAATTATCATTATTCTAATCCTGATCACAGTTCCTGTGTATTTTCTCAATCATTATAATAATAATATTAGCAATCAGTATTGAGGCCATATTTACCTGTAAGTTTTACATGTACTTGTGTCCTAGAAATATTACCTCTCATACACTTAAGTGTGTCCTTAAATTATAATAATTAATTGTCTTGAAATTATAATAATTGTCCTTAAATTATAATAATTAATTGTCCTTGAATTATAATAATTAAATGTCCATAAATTATAATTAATTAATTTATGATAGGCTGAACAGGCAGCCAGAGTGTATTTATACATGTTAGGCCTATATCGAGGTCAGCCTCCGCCCTCCCTCGAAGTCAGTATTTCGATCTTCCCCCGAGGTCGAAGTACTGCCCCCCCCCCCTCCAGGCTGCAACCCCACAACAAGCAAACTTAACTACACTACACACAGAAATCACAATAGTGTGATGAATCAAATGAACAAAAGGTCAGATTCTGAGGTTGGGAAGGTCAGATTGAGGCCCTGACCCTTATATTGCCTGCAATATAAGGGGTCAGCCAGAATAATAGCCAGTCACTTTCTATAGCCAGAAAAATGGTGATGGAATCCACCCAAGATTATAGATGTCTGTCATTTAATGCTTGATTTTCATTATAAAATAAAGACAAAATTATCAGTGCACATTTGTGAACGGCTGTTGCTTGAATGAGCATTGCCAAAGCTATTTATTTATTTTTTATAAGTACTTAGTGGAATTTTGGCAGAGTTGCAGTGAAGTACATTTCATTCATTAGTTTGGAGGATAGGCAGCTTGATGACATAGATTTTGGCCACTTGTCTCTGTAATACAGTACAGTATATGAAAGCCCACCCTGGGAGACACCCACGCAATGCAACAAGCAAAGTTTCCAGGAAATAATAATAAAAACAAAGGTGTCGCTTTTGCAAACAATTTTGCTATTCCAGCAATGATACATCCTGTTGTGGATCAACAGAGATCTTTCGCATTTACATGAATTTGCAGGAGGATTCTGCAGTTTCTGATATTAAAAATGCCTTTTCCCTGGTAACATGAATCTCGACGAGCTGTAGCAGCATATGACCAATTTTTCTGTTGTCATCTCATTTAGTACATTTTTTATCGCCTAATCAATTAATTTGGATTTCCTTACAGGGACGAGGTAGAGTCACTTGCACGCGAGCTGCGTGTGCGGCTATACAGAACGTCTGTAAAAGAGGACCTCAATGTTGACCAAGTCTTCAACTTCCTGGTGGAGCGATACATGGCTCTCATCAATACTTCAGATGAAACACATACCCCAAAAAGTGTAGGAGAAAGTGAGTATAGACAGAAGATAATATGGGGAAGGGGGGAAAGTGGATTTGAAAAGGATTTGGAGGATGGCAGAGAAGCACATACCATTTCTTAATATTTTAATTAAAGCATTTAAGGTTACTATTGGTAATAATTTTCAGAAGTTTTTAATTATAAGTTTATTTTTCAGATATCTTTGGCAATCCTGGTAAGCTGAAGAAAGGAGATACAATTACATTGGGCGGAAAGAAAAAATCCAGCAAGAAACAGCTTATTAAAAGTGCATGTAAGGTTATATAGAACTAGAACAATAGCCAAGATCTCATGAGGTAAATATTTACCAAGTTGTATAGTCACCAGTGTGGCAAGACCACATGAGGTCATTGTATGCAAGCTTATCTAGACTAAGAATAAAATCGAGGTCATATAAGGTCAGTATAAAGTAAGGTTGTAAAATATAGATCACTTGATTAAGCCGAGTACAAAGTGCTGGCAATGAAGTAGAACAACAACACCAAGTTGGTATTTGACTTTATTGGAGTGTTCACTTCTGCCCTGCGGGTCACCACTATGTGCAGCTTAGAATATTTGAAAAAAAAATCATAATTTTTTGTAAGTTTCTAATTTGAATACGATTTTAAAATTGGGATAAAAATGAAAGAAGTCTATATACTCCTTGGGTGTACAGAATTTCAAATTAATTAAATTTTGACACTAATTTCAGTTCATAAAGTTTGGAGTGTTACACCTCATCAATTAAATATTTTCTTTTCTTGTAGAATTCACACAACACAATAAATATCTGTGAATAAAGAAAAATTCCAAAAATAGTTTCAAACTTATTACATATTTCACATAAATATTTTTTTTAGCACAATGGTCCACATGCTCCACAACTCTTATAAATTAATTTATATGTATATTAATAAGGGTCATAATTTTTATAATAGACAGAAAGATGTGAAATCTTGCCTCAGTAGTTATGTAATTTATAAACAAAAAATTCCATAAATTTCTATAGTGAAAAATATAATATGATGAAAAATGTCATTTAAAGATTAATGAAGATATGTTCACACTTACAGATAAAACGTAAGCTTTAATAAGGTCTGCTGTCAACTTGGTGTTTTTGCAAATAAAAAACAAAGTTAATTATGGCAAGACTTTATCTCAAAGTCTGAGATATATACAAGGTTACTGTCAACTACTGTTTACAGCATTGTTTACTCCTGTGTTTAGGAAAGGTCACTAAAAAGTCAATATATATATATATATTAGTCAAAAGTGAAGGAATGACATTAGAGGTCAGCCCATATGTAAACCTATCTCTTATTTTTTTTTTTGTCTCTTAATGTCATATTCCCTCTGAATGGGCACCTTCCCAGAGTAAAAGTCCTCTGGAGTGAATGGCCTGGTGTAGTCTCCTCGGCCCACTTTCAGTTATTTAAAGATTTCCTAAGTGGCACTTGACAAAAATGCTGAACGTAATAGCTGGCAATTACCTAAATGAAACAATTGTCAATTTATTTCACTGAGCTACAATGCGAGGAAGGACTGAAGGTTTTAAATTACCTAATTACATCATTGTCTTATTGTCTTTCAATGGGTAGAATTAGTAAATGTAAAGTTATAAGCTCTTGTATGTTTCTTGATCACATCCTACTCAATTCCATGCCACAGAAAGACAGCTAATAATACTTATCACTTCAAGGCAAACACAATTGTTGATTCGTCTGTAATTATGGGAAAGTAATAATTTTTTCCATAATCTTATTAATTGGTAAAGTGGATGAGAACTCTGCCATCTTAATTGAATTTAATTCAATATCCTTATTCATTGATGCACTGGATTTGTTTTCAATGTGAACTTTCAACTGTTTATTTTAAAGTTAGAGTGCAAATTTAAATATTAATTTGTAACAGGAAACATTCTTATATGGAGGGAAGATTTCAATGTTTATCACTGGTAAATGTATTAAATACATTACTCTAAATACAACCTCAACTTGCTTTACTGTGAACATTTACTTCTTAAGGAAGTAAATTTCAATATAATTATTATTTTTTTTAATTGCAATGATATGTGAACTCTTCTTCAACACTAGTATTTTATGATTACATCTATGTACAGTACAGTATATGTTAGGAAAACGAATACTGTGATTCAAATAATGCTGATCTATCAACATCATTTATATAATGTTGATAGATCTCTGCTAAATTGAATGTTGGGACTGTTTTGACAATCAGTGTATAAAGTCAAATTTGATACACAGCACTAAGACATACATTATGGAGGTGATGTGACTGACTGGCCTATCATAGTATACCAGGACTGTCTATGTTGACCAGACCACACACTAGAAGGTGAAGGGATGACCACATTTCAGTCCGTCCTGGACCATTCTCAAGTCGATTGAACTGTCTAATCACTATATTAGGACCTATTATGAGCAGCCCGTCCTCCTAAGGTTTCCCAATGTCAAGTTTCAAGAACTTGAAGTGCAACAGTTTCAAGAAACTGTTGTACTGAAGTGCCCTTATCCTACCTTATCAGAGGACCCAAAACAGATAACGGGAGAGTATGTCACTTTTGCAAGCCACTATCATTTCTAGTATGACGATTTTTGGCCTTAGGTAGAGTATACGTCAAAATGCTACGTTCTATTTCGACAATGGGTTGTTGAGGAGGAGATAGATAGTAACTAGCTGTTACCTCAATCTGCCTTTCAAGCCTCCGCAGGCACCAGAAGTAGCCAGCAGTATTCCTTCCTGAAGGACAAATTATATTATTGTGAACCACAATATCATGATAATATAATTTCATCCACCTGGCCTATCAGGTAGCCTAAGCCCTGCCTTGTTTTGCTTTAATACTTTGTAGAATAAGTATTATGTATGGCATATTGTGCATGTCGTGCATTATATTTTGCACAGTAAAGTACATAAATTGTTTTCCAAATTGATTTAGATAGACATTGTATCCATGTTTAGGATAATAATAATAATAATGTTTATTCAGGTAAAAGTATATTCATTCAAAATTAGTTACAAACAGAATGTTGGATTTCAAGATAGAGCTAGTACATACTATGCCTAAAGCCACTAATAAGGAGAATTAATTACACTGTGATAAGACTGCTCATACTATTAATATGATAACACTGGCCACACTATCACTGGTAATACTGGCCACACTATCACTATCATAATATTGCACACTATCAACACGATAATGTTGCCCATACTATCACCACAGTAATACTGCCCACACTATCACCACAGTAATACTGGTACATTCTTGCAAGATCACTTAGCGGAAGACTGAACCTGATAGTGTACCTAATTGTTATCACATTGATAACAGTAACAAAATACCAATATGGTAACAAATGGCCACTGTTAACTTCATTCTCCTTGTAAGTGACCTTGCAAGAATGTACCAATTAATCACCAGAATTTCTTCTAGGACATCCCTCTATTTAAGATCTTGTACATATATAAATAAATAATTAAAATGTGTGATAACATACCGTCCATACTGGAGGCTGCCAGTTGTATAGGTGTCGAGGATGGTTGTGGCACTGGGACCATATCCTTCCTTTGTTTCTTGTTGCTACTACACTTCCTACTACTGTGACTGCTTATAATGCTACTACTGCTACTGTGACTGCATTATAATACCGTACTGCTACTGCTTATACTACTACTATGACTACATCATAATACTGATTGACCTGTTTTACCTGATTTACCCAGAGGTCACTAACTGAGGGCCTTCAAGCATTCCTGATACGAGAGATGACTTAGCTCTGGAATGACTTGTTGCCCGGTGTTGCACCTTCTCTAGAGCAGCTATGTGCTTGTGAAAATGAGGTCTCCATGCTTGGATATGGTAATCCAAATGGGGCACACCAGAGATTTATACAGTTGAACTAGTACCTTCTTTTCCTTATAGTCAAAAACTCGCTTGATTATCCCAAGAGTTTAGTTAACTTTTCTGACTGCTGCACCCACCTGTTGTGCAACTTTTAATGAGTGCTGGATTTTGACTCCAATGTACTTTTCTTCATCAATCTGCTGTAATGTAATGAAATTAATTTGGTAGTCATGGTGTGGGTTGTTATGCCCCACCTACCTTGGAGTTACCTTGGAGTTGTTCCGGGGCTTTGTGTCCCCGCGGCCCGGTCATTGACTAGGCCTCCTCATGCATGGTCTTGCATTTGTCGGTATTAAAAACTATTTGCCAGTCTTCTGACCATTTATGGAGTTAATGTAGATCTCTTTGTAAGGCTTCAATATCACTATCATTTTCCCACTTTACCATAAATCTTTGTGTCGTCTTCAAATTTGATGATGTGGTTTGTAATATTCTCATCTATGTCATTGTCATATGACAAAAAGGGTAAGTCTCAAAATGGACCCTTCTGGCACCCCATTTATCACATTTCTCCATTCAGATTTGTTTCCATTTAGCATGACCCTTTGTTTTTCATTGAAATATTTTACCATTTATTCCATGGGCCTGCAATTTCCTTGCCAGTCTTTCAAGTGGTACCTTATCGAAAGCTTTAGAAAAATCCATGTACTGTACTACATCCACTGTATATTACATCCAAATCCATGTTGTGTCGATTGTACAAGGCTACTCACTGAAAGTTGGCAAATGATTCCCTCCGAGGATTCTCTCCATGAGCTTGCAGATGTGTGATGTCAAGCTGATTGGCCAGTAGTTTTCTGCTGAGCTCTTTCTGCCCTTTTTTGAAAATAGGGGTAATATTTGCTATTTACAATCTAAGGGAACTACCCCTTGGTCCAGAGATTTTGTGAAAAGTAGTTTCAGCAGTGGGCATAGTTCTTTGCCAGTTCCTTTAAGACTTTGGATTGGGTTCCATCCACACTTGGGGCTTTTGCATCTTTTAGTTTGTCAATGTTCTTTCTTATTATTTTGCATGTTATGGGTATAGACTGTACTACTAATGCATGTAATACTACTATGACTGCATTATAATACTACTACTGGATCTGCTTATAGTAGTACTACTGTACTACTATTATGACTGCTTATAGTACTACAGACTTATAGTACTACAGACTACAGACTTATAGTATTATGACTGCTTATAGTACTATTATAAACAGTCACAGTCACAGTGACTGTGACAAGACACCGGTACAAGGTGACCTAACCACACACCAGGACATATCTTCAACCACGTTGTTAGGCATTGTCTGCACTGCAGTAACCATTACTGTACTGTTGCTAGGAGCTCTAAGGCCTCTATAACTACTGATACTACTACTATCATCATTACTACTCGTGTAATTACCACTCCTACTTCTATTAAAACTACATTTACTCTCTCGTAACAGCGTTATCATTTTTCGGCACTTGAAACCCGAGTGGTATTTAGCATTTTGATGATTTTGGAGCTGAAATTCCTGTATCTTTTGCTGACGGTGAATTATAAAAAATAGGACTGCGAAATTGAAATTGAAATTGAAATAAGTTTATTGAGGTAAAATACACACAAAGGGATGAGGTAGCTCAAGCTATTCTCACCCCATTCAGTACAACGTGTTAATATATACAGACACACATCACAAATAAACACATTACCAAACATTTTGAGAGGTAAAAATATACATTTCCTCCTTCACAAGTAGTATGGTATCAGACGTACACACAAATACTTTTATGACCTAGGAATACTGTATAGACAATTTGCAAGACACCTGCAGATAATTCAACAAAATATTACAATCTTGGTGCAAAATTCTTATATCTCTCAAGAATATCATCAACCTTTCCGTTGTGACACATCCAGGCTATTTGTTCAGGAACAGTCCTTATCTCAGTGTTTCTATATACACTAATCAACGGACAATCAAGAACATAATGGGCAAGGGTGTGAGACCTTAACATACCACATAGTTTACACTTCGTGTCATTACCATGAACATCTATCCCATATTCCCAGTAATATTTGTACCCAAGCCTGAGCCGCATGTACACAGAGTCACTCCAAGCATTTCTCCTTTTACCATAAGTGAAATGGGTGTTTTGACTCACATACATGTAGTGTTGCATGGTTTGACTACTCTCATACATTATCTCTCTCCTCTCCACTCCCGCCTGTGCCTGAATATTTCTGATTTTGCTTCTTATTTGTCTCATTGTGAATTCACATTCACAGTCCCAAACTCCGTATAATCCCTTATTAGGACACCACACCCTGCCCTGCCATCCTCCGCCACCGACCCGTCGCAATATACATGTAAACTGTTGCCTCTTGGTAACCGAGATATCATGCTTCCATACAAACACCGTAATTGTCCCGGTTCATGATGAATCTTTTTCACCTTGAGGGGTACAATTTCGACGTCTATTTTCTGTACTTTCCAGGGAGCAGACATATTACACTTTCGAGAGGGTTTACAGCAGTCAAGTACGTCGTATTCCCTGAGGTCATGAGCTAATCCTCTCGTATAGCGTGTCTCCCTCAGTTTCCTGGAAGTGTGTACGTCACTCAACCAGGTCTGAACGCTCTCAAACAGCTTATCCCCTCCTTTTCTCCGCATGAAACGAATAGATACTCTAGTGTTAATGTCACGGACTCTATCACACACACTCTGTAAATTTAATTCCATTCTCATTATTTCAATCATTGCATTTCTTTGACATCCAAGAATAATCCTCATAGCCTCGTTCTGTATCAGCTCTATTTTTTGAATTCTGCCTTGGCCTGTGTAAGACAATACGGGTGCTGCGTAGTCTATCAGGGATCGAACAGTGCTTATGTATAACATCCGCAAGATAGGTACCCCAACACCTTTACCAGAAAAAGCCAGTGCTTTTAGAGGATGCAGACGGGCTTTACATAAGGTGCTGATATGATTTATTTCAGCATTTTTACTCTCACATGTGTATCCAACATACATGCCCAGATACTTGTACTTCTGTACACGGCTCAGTTCCACACCATTTAGAGTAAGTGTTATATTTCTTCGTTTCCTATACTCGTATTTGGTTTTATCTGCATTTATAACTAAGCCTAACTTGTGACAGGTTGTACCAAGTATGTTAAGAGCATCTTGAATTTTGTTCCCAGAAGTGCCTTGTATAAGAATGTCATCAGCATATATGATCGTCGTGACCCCTGGAGGATACATCTCTGATGCTAATCTGTTCATTAATACATTGAATAAGGTGGGACTTAATACTCCCCCTTGTGGGGTACCTAACTGAAACCTCCGTTCCTCAGACATGTATTCCTGGTAATACACCTGACCTTTTCTGCCTTGCAGGTAATCCCTTATCCAGTGTAGCAATCTCCCTGTTATTCCCAGATTGGCTAATTCGTATAAGATTACTTCCCCATTGGCTTTATCAAACGCTCCTTGTAGATCAACAAAAACTCTACAATTGTCATCCACATTAGACAAACACTTTAAGAGACAATCCGCAGTACTTTTGCCTTTGATAAAACCAAAGAGATTATTG